ACAACATACTGTGTACTCACAGTGACATATACACCATACTGTGTACTCACAGACTTATACATCATACTGTGTACTAGCAGTGACATATACACCATACTGTGTACTCACAATGACATATACACCATACTGTGTACTCACAGTGATATATACACCATACTGTGTACTCACAGTGACATATACAAAATACTATGTACTCGCAGTGACATATACACCATACTGTGCACTCACCTTGACATATACACCATACTGTGTACTCACATACTTATACACCATACTATGTACTCACAATGACATATACACCATACTGTGTACTCACAATGACATATAAACCATACTGTGTACTCACAGTGATATATACACCATACTGTGTACTCACAGTGACATATACACCACACTGCGTACTCACAGACTTATACACCATAATATGTAGTCACAAAGACATATACAGCACAATGCGTTCTCACAATGACATGTACACCATACTGTGTACTCACAATGACATATACACCATAGTGTGTACATACAGTGATATATACACTGTACTGCGTACGCACAGAGACGTTTACGCTATACTGTCGATTCATAGTAGTATATATAAACTATACTGTGTACTCATAGTTATATACACAGTTGATTGTGGTTCATGCATTTGGTCCAATCGTCTAATAATATACTAGAGGAGAAAGCATTTGAATTAAGCAGTGTGAATTACCTTTTGGTAGCCTTTTGATGCACATCGGCTGTCTTTTTGCGCTGGTCCCTGAAATAATGTCACAGGTGAGAGCTATGCAAGTAAAATACGTGGCATGTGTTTAAGCCGTGACCTTGCTTATGACCTTAGTCCGTCATGAGCATATCAAAAGTGTTAGGCGGTGAATCGAAGCAAAGGAAAATACTTTGACCAGGCCTTTTTCTCTCTGAAAAACTATCACATATATTGTTCAATATAGGACGATTTGAATACTTATTTTATCAATCAAAATATGCTTTCTTGTATCTTTATTTGCCGCTTGTAATTTTCATCCAACGGTCGAAGCGATCTTTCAGTGCAGTGCACTTACTATGGACAATCGTTAAATTGTGAATGACGACGTTTCCTTGAAAATGGGTAACAGTTCGTAGCTCTAGTTAAAATAATATTTTTACCATTTGTTTTTAAACATGTTGATGTATATTTCATCGGCGTGGTTAACATTGCTGTTGTTATTTCCATTCCCCTGTCTTCTACTGTTCATTTCTGATTGTCCGACTTGCACCACATCAGCATCTCTCGAAACAACTGACCTGGCATGAGATATTATTAATTATTAAGATGACGTTACGTTGGTGATATATACTATATACAGACCCGCCAGAAAGTATTTACGCACCACACTACAGGCAGCTACTACCTACGATATCATACAATAAAATAAACTCAATAACGGTTTGAATAAATATATTTATATATCTAATAAAATATGCATTTTTACACACAATAAAAACAACAAAATTGTCATTGTCATGCAGGATTGAATAAAAACGGCAGTCTGAACGAAACAGTGAAAAAACGTTCGAATTCTCTATGGAGAATACCGTGTAAACGCAAGCTCATGAATATTCATGAAGACATAGAACGCGGCGATTGTCAATAATGCGTGTGTCCACCTCTTCGCTAGTAGCTGTGGAATCATAGCCCTATGTTGCCGACCGCATTATTTACGTGACTGACTCTGGCCGGCCCATAGGGCTATGGGGCCTTGTGCGACTGAATACCGGTTAAAATCCACATGCCAAATTTGGTCGTCGCAAAAATCACATTTTAAGACCTTCGAAAGTACTCACTATGTTTATTTACTTCCAAACAATGACCAGAACCTATTTGCGCTGTGAAATGATGACGGTGGTCATAAAAAATTGACTTTATTTACCGTACACCGAGTCGCAGAAAAATAACAAGACGAAAGACGCCATTTTGTATTCCAGAGTTTATAGCAAATTACGCGAGACCTATAATTTTGTACCACGTGACCGAAATCAGTAGATAAATTGCGTTTATGCAAC